AAACTGAGCGAGTCTTGGTTGAAGAGTTTTCTCAAGCTTGACCATCACATCAGGATGCTGCTTGTTTAGGTGCTGTTTGGCTCCTTTCTGACCGACGAGGACCTGACCGCAGAGAGCACAGTGTTCCATCAGGTAATCATGGAACGCAGGGTTTCGAGCGGCACCTTCTGGATTGTCCTGGGCCTCAGACTGTAGACTTTCTACGAGTGAGATCCGGTTCTGTGCTTCTAAGGGTAGCTCTTCCTGCTGCCTGAGCAAAAGCTCTACCCTTGGACAGGTAGATGCTTCTACATGTTTGCGTAGATAAAACACTGATCTGAATGTTGCTCGACAGGCGACACAAGTTGCTGACCCTGGCATTGAATGCAAGATAGGATCAAATTTTGGTCCTTTCAGGCACTGCTGTGAATCTGGGTGTGCCTTCTGCAGGTGGCGACGGAGTGCTCCGGTGCCAGAGAGACATGCTCCACATTCAGTGCAAGTCAGAAGCCTATCCTCAACAGGTTGCGAGGAGAAGTCCGTGGAGAGGCATGCCAGAACCTGGCTAACTGCCTCAGCTCGCAACTTATAGTGGGGGAGAAGCTGGGGATCGGAGTGTTGCTGTCTCTTTATGAACTGGGTCAGTCTCTTTTGCAGCTGCTCCTTCACGTGAGGAATTCGTAATCTCCGGAGTAACTCCTGGTTTGATTCCTTCGTTTCCTGGGAGTAACTCCGCAGGACGAATCTAAGTTGGTACATCATGTGTGAATGGAGCTTTTGCAGGCCCTGCTGTGTCACCCCCACCACATGAAGTGCGTACAAAGCAGAGGCCCACGCAGTGATTGTCCATATCGACAGACGACGTCTGTCTGATAAGACTCGATGGTTCCGAACTGCATGGGCTACTTCTGACATTGCAAGCTTACTGGAGGACAGCCTATGTTTGAGAGTCTTCATTTCATATTCGTGATACGAGAGAATAACCCCAAGGTATGGGACCTGGTAGCGAAGCGAGATCAACCTGCCCGAAGGAAGCTCAACAAACTTCTCTCCCTCAACCTGGCGAAAGAGTTTCTTTCTCATGGTCGAGGCTGAGCCCCCTTGCAGCTGCAGCAGGATTGCTGACTTGGACGGGTTGACCTTAAACCCAAGCTCTACTAGCTGATCCAAAAGCAGGTCGCAGTATCCTAATGCTGTCATTAGGCCTTTCTCTGAGTCGAAATGTGACTGGATCAGGCTATCGTCCGCGTACATTGTGAGGAGCTTCACTAGTTCAGCTGGGCTGATTTTCCCAGAGAGCTTTCTAAAGAGAAGTCCCGATGCAAAGGCAAATAAAGAGGGTGCAAGTTTACAACCCTGCTTGATTCCCCTGCGTGTGGCTATCTCAAAGCTCTGATCGCTGGCTGTCATCTTGTACAAGGCTTTGATGTGGAGATGACCTACCACCTCTATCAGAAGAGGATCGGCTTGTTCAGCTTCAAGGGCCTCTCTTAATCGCAGCCTGTTTACAGTGTCAAAAGCTTTGCTCATGTCAACGCTCATGGTGAGACTACCTTTGAGCTTCAGCCCCTGTTGACCCTTACCAGCAGCCCTAGTGGTAAGAGCCTGTCTGAACCTGGCTTGGTCTACATGTGTGAGGGCTTTGCAGATAGCCTCCTCTGTACCCCTGCCTGGGACGAAGCCGAACTGCGAGACGCCGGTCATTGCTTGCTGAAGGGTATTCTTGAGTCTCTTCCTCACTAGTCCGGCTAGGATCTTGCCCTCAGGCGCTATCACTCCAATCGGACGAAGTGAGGTTGGTTTGTCTGGCTTCTTGGGAGGCTTTGGGAGCCAGGAGATCTGCGACGAGGTGACACTGTCCGAAAGCCTTCCTGCAGTGACTTCCCTATTTAGGGTGTCCGAGATGAGCCGGATTGCTTGGGGGCCTAGGGAGCGCCAGGCTACTACGGGAGGACTCTCTTTCGGAACTGCCTTGCCAAGCTTTATTGTGCCAAGCTGTTCTTGCACTTCGTGGTCTGTTATGTGCAGGCTGCCTTGCAGCCCTGAGAGCGGGAAGTCATCCCCTGCTCCGAACAGATCTTGGGAATATTCCTCTAATTGTCTTCTTTCTTCCTTGGCAGTAAGGAAGCGTCCCTCAGAGTCACGAAGCTGAACTCTTTCCTGAGGCCTCCCCGACCTAAAGCGCTTGATTACCTTGTAAAGAGAATGACTCCCATCTTGTTTGGACTTAAGCTCTGCCTGCTCGAGTTGCTCATCTATTTCCTGCCGCCGCCGCTCCTGCTTGTGATGCTTTGCTATCCTCGCCTGTGCACTTTGCTTGGAGAAAGAGCTCCAGCAGCGAAGCACCATACGAAGCTGCAGATCGGGCAAGAACTCTGCTAAGACCTTGACTGTTAGTGGAAGTGAGCGCAATACAGAGCGCTCCTCCCAGATGCTGAGATCGGGTCTTGGTGCTGAATCCTTTCTCTTGGGAAAGTGAGTCGCGAGGGCTGAGTTCATTGCTTGATAGAGGCTATGCCAGCTTTGAGGATGATCCTGAAGGAGGGAGTCTACCTCCCTAGCAAACGCCTGTATTTTCGGTGAACGATGTCGATAGCAGTCCTCCATTTCCTGCTGGTCATAGGGTTTGGTGACTTGGGCGGAGTATCTCCTGCTGTGTCTCAGTTTACCTAGAAGGGGGAAGTGCCTACTACCATCCCTCCAGGATGCAACTGGGAAGGTCCTTAGCGGCCGGCAAAACCTGGCAGGGCCTTGGGACTGTGCAATCCTGACAAACGAGAAGTCAATCTGTGAGACAGAGTTGCCTTGTACATGAGTGGCTGGTCTATGCACTCCCCAAGTGTTGGTTGCAATTAGCTGGTGCTCAAACAGTAGGGTCTGGAGATCCTTAGATCCGCGGTGCCCGAGTCTGCAAGTCTGGATCGTGCATGGCCCTACGTGTTTATTGTCAGTTTTTAGCGAGGAGTTAAAATCTCCTAGCACAAGGAGAGTGTTGCGATTGGGAACAGCTCGGATGGACTTACTTAGGGCATGAAGGGTCTGCTTCCGGGTCTCCTTATTCTGAGCGACTGTCTCCTTAGAGCGCCAGACGTATTGATAACAGCTGAAGACGTCCAGTGAGATGCCTTTGCTCGGCACCCGGACCTGGAGAACTCGTCCTGGTACTACCTCGTTGTAGCGAAGATCCTGTGACTTGCACAGCGTGGAGTGCACCATTATGAGAACCCCGGCTCCCTTCTCCCCTGTGGAGCCTGAGCTGATCACATGCCAGCCTGACTTGCTGAATTGCCAAGAGCCCCTCCAGTGTGTTTCCTGAATAGCTACTAGCTTCACATCCTGAAATGCGGCACTTTGCAGTACGGAGAGTAACTCTTCCCAAACTGCTGTTGTGAGAGATCCTGCGTTCCAAGATAAGTAGCTGAGATTCTTATCTTCTGTGAATTTCGAAGGCCGAGTCCTTCTGCCGGGATTGGTGAACTTTTCATGTGCCGGAGCAGCTCCAAGCTCTGTTGACGACATCGTCCTTCCCTTGTAGACCGCACTACCTTCAAGCAGAGCTTTACGTGCTGCCCTTTGATAAGAGCGCTTACCCTTCCCTTTAGGAACGGGCTGATGCTTGGTCGAACCACTAGGCTGTTTCGCAGCACTCATGTTGAGCACGGCTCCTGTCGGCTTCGCAATACCGACAACCCTCACCTCTGGGAGATGTTAGAGAGCTGTAAATCTAATACTCCCTCCCGGACTTGGGACCGGGACTGCTCAGGCGCTGACACATGCCATGGCAAGAAAGGAAAAAGGCAACTGTACTAGCCTGACCTTTCCTGAGCCGAGAGGCTTACAACGACGACAACAACAACAGCAACAACAACACCAACAGCACCAACAGCACCAACAGCAACAGAAACCGCAACCGCGACCGCAACCGCAACCGCAACCACCACCACCACCACCACCACCACCACCACAACCACCACAACCTGAACCTCAGGCACGACCATAACCACCAAAACCACATGATAGTGCCCTAGCAGGCCCTAGCACCAGCGACCACGACTGCCACCTGACCACCATCTCCAGCAACGGCGCAACTGACCGCAAGGGCAGCGCGGACCACACTTATCGAAGCTATCGGAGTGGTCGGTGGCACGCTGCTAGGGACCGATCAGCAGGCGACTGTGGCAAAGGCTCGGAGATTCTTGGTCTCTAGGTCTGCATCTGCTTCTCTGCAAGAGTTAGCACATGACGCGATAGCGCTTTGCCAGACGTGGCTACAGTGATACCAGACTGCACTGCTTGCAATACTCGTGACAGGAAGAATCAATGTTAGAAATCAACAATAGCATCGCTTGTGGTACAGATCGTGACATTAATGCAGATCATTAGAATGTCTATTCTCTCTCTGCTTTGCTTTGCTAGGGGCTTGAGGCGGGAGCAGTCCTCCCTCCCTCTCTCTCTCTCTCTCTCTCTCTCTCTCTCTCTCTCTCTCTCTCTCTCTCTCTCTCTCTCTCTCTCTCTCTCTCTCTCTCTCTCTCTCTGCCGTGCCATCATCAAGTGTCTCGCAATGCAAGGGCACGAGAATGTCTATTGAGGTGATTGAACCCGGATAGTTGTCACAAGACAAAAGGCCACCAACTGGATAAGAGAACAATAGGGAGAAACTGTTCGCAACTGACATGGAGGGGCAGCACAGCCAGCGAAACTAACTGCAATCGTAACGAAGAGCAACCGTAATAAACAGCTCTATCAGCAGGAACGGACAAGTATGAGCACTATGAACCATAGCATCGCTAGGAAACATAGCAACAGCAGCAGGGACGGTGAGGCACACGCAAGCAGACTCTGGGCCCTAGGCCCCTGGGCAGACTCAGCGCTGTGCAACTTGCAAACTTGTCAGCAAGCCTTGTTGCCAGTGCCCGTAGGTCAGGGTCCATCAAGTCATAGGATCTGTAAGAAAACCAGCATCACAAGCAGATGCCGCGAAGGCTCAGACCGAAAATGAAGTATCAAAACCGAGAGGGCTCTCACCTGAAGTAGGGGCCTGCAATCTTGTTGTTGATGTCCAGCTTGTATGCGTCAGACGCGAAGTACTTCTGCAGTGTGGGCAGGGCCCGGAAAGCCTCGTAGAAAGCCTTGCACTTTGGGAATTTCTCGAGGATTGGTGCGGCACCCATCTTCTCAGCAAGCATCTTATGCTGGTCCAACATTTCCCAAATGTGGAAGTCTGCCACACCGGGGCCATCTGCAAGGACAAACCACTTGCCACCCGACGCATTGTCCTTGAAGCCAAGAATGGCCTCAAACTTGCCGAACGGGGGTGAACCGGAAAGCCCCTCCGCCTTTGTCTTGAACTCCGCCTCGTCACGGGTCGCATTCTTGAATGGATACACCAGGTCGATCATGCCATTTCGCACGTCGTAGATCTCTGCGAGGAGTTCCTCCGTGCGCACCTTCTGGGCGTCGGTGCTGCCATTGAGGCCGTACTTGTCGCCCAGGTAGTGCAAGATAGCATTCGTCTGGCAAACGCACTTGTCACCATCGACCAGGTACGGGAGGTTCGCCAGCGGATTCATCTCCAGAATCGCGGGCTTGCGACCCTTGAACCAGTCTTCCCCCGTTTCGTACTGCTTGTCCTCGTACTTGGCTTCCTTGTACTCGAAGAGCATCCGGAACACGGAGCCCAGGCCCCGAATCTTCCAGTAGCCGAACTCCATGGGGGCCGCACTGGCATCGCTCTTCGAGTATCCACCAGACATGACTACGAGGCTCTAGGATAACTTCACGAGCCGAGGGACTGATCCAGGTTGTCCCTACCGACCCGCACCACTACATGGTCACGACACGTGTCGCAGGCTATGCCACAGCCTGCTCAGCATTGCCGTATGAGACGATCAACTTGCGGAGTCGCTCCCCGAGAAAACCCCTGGTAAGGACCAAAAAACCCTCAGCGCAGCTCCAAAGGTTCACAAGTTCTGAGGGTCCTAAAAGGCCGATTCCACCAAGCTGCTTTCGGAGGAAAGGATCGCCAAAGATGAAGAGTGGCCCGTTCGGGGGCGGCACATCCAAACCTTGGGTCCCATGGGACTCGGGGTCTTCTTGTCGCGATTCTCTTACCGTTGGTTAGTAGGGAATGGAGGAATGGGGTGCAATTATAGCTACTATTACTACCATTCTTCCCATTCCCTACTAACCAGCGGTAAGTTCTCCCACAAACGGGGGCACGCAGATGAAGCAGCTCGTTAGGCTCTACTTAAAGGATCATGGGACTGAGTAACTAGGGTTCCTTAAAGGGCTCCTTCTAAGGGACCATTATAAGGTGTTTTAGGGTCTGCTTAAAGGATCATGGGGCTTAGTAACTAGGGTTATAATTAGGGTAACTATACTTGTAACCCCAATTAGGGTGCTTATAACCTTACCTACTAAGTCCCATGATCCTCCAAGTAAAGCGGGCGACACACGGGGCTTCATATCACAGTGGGTTGTGGGAGCCTTTTGCAAGGGCATTCTGCACTTCAACATGCATTCATTCCGCCCCACTGGGCCTTGAAGGCATGAGGGCTGAGGTCCCGAGACAGGGCTCAAATTTGATGGCTCGTCTTTCCATGGTGCCAGGAGACTCATCAGGGAGAGGGAGCAGTACCCACCACTGTTGTCCACGTACTCGGCGGGCTTCAGGTTCATGACCTCTCCATGACATCAGCTGCACAGCTACTGGGTAGTCCGATTGCCAATTGCGGTTCTGAAGGCAGGGTGCAGCTGGAGGTTGAGTGAGGTTAAGTGGGTCCTAATCTCTCGAGAAGCTAAAGTATTAGAGGCTGCCAAGTATGAATCAAAGGGATGAAGCTTGGAGATGCATGAAGATGTTCGATACACCTGTCTCTGTACACAAGGAGGCGCGGCAGTCGTGCTGCGCTAAGGCTGAAATGAAAGCCCGGGACGGTTACATAGCCGGAACGGTGTAAGGCAAATGCAAGCTAATCCTTCTTGCCAAATCTAAGATGGCTCCTTGGTGCTCCTTGCATATGCACAGTCACCGCCGCTGACGCTGTAACGTCCACGCTGCAACCAAAGCATGCCGGAGCCCGCACCATACGCAAACCGCTTGCGCTCTGACCAAGCCCAGTGGCATGCCCAGACACGATGAAGCCAAGATCTGGCAGGTCGTCGTAGTTCGAGCCTCGGGCCGGGGCAGGGCCTTTTTGTCGATTCCTTTCCGTCCGCTTGTTCCGCAGAGGCAGGAGCGGGAGCTGGAGCAGGAGCAGAAGTAGTGGCAGTCGTCGTCGGCGCAGTAACCTTATCAGCAGCAGCAGCAGCAGCAGGAGTTGTCGTAGTCGGAGTCGTAGAAGCTTTCGTCGTCGCGGCAGTCATCATCATCGTCGTAGTCGCCGCATAGTCGTAATATGGTAGCAGTGTAGCAGTAGTACAGGCGTCGTCGTGGTGGCATTCAAGCTTCCGTCATCTAAGGACCGAACAGTCGTGGCGAACTTTGAGCCGGGAGGTCAAAGCCTGACAAAGGTCTGCTTTGGCGTCTTGCATTGATATGTGTAAATATGAACACATATGTATATATATATATAATTATGTAGATATGTGTGTGTAGGTAGTTGTCAAAATTATAGTCCCTGTTTGGGCAGCCTGAATATTAGCTGTTCTATTATAATAGGGACCCAAAAAGGGACCCTAATTTTGACAACCACCCATGTGTGAGTCTGTGACATGCATACACCTGTATGTTTATTTCTGTACATATATATATATATATATATGTGTGTGTGTGTATGTATACTTATGATTGTGTAGGTGTACGTATGTGTAGGCATGCATGTGTGTGCAGGTGGATGGGCAGTAGGCAAGTAGGTAAGCAGCTAGGTGTGGGTAGATAGGAGGGTGGGCGGGTGGTATGCATACATGGATGCATGGATGCAGCAATTCTCTGCATGTGTTCAACAAACAGTGGAAAAGAAAACCTGTGCAGGAATATGTATGCCAGTTTCCTTCCTGTATACACAGATACCTAAACAGAATCTACCCGTGCTACTAATTCAACTTCAATATTCAAAGGACTACTTGGCGTGTTTAGACTGCCGATGGCAAGGTCGAACCTGTTGAGCAAGAACACTCACACGTCGGAATAGACTGACGACGACGGAACCGCATAAGGGGATGAGGTACCATACTTCTCAGATCCGATAGATTGAAACTTCCTTACAGAAGCCCTGATCGACCCGAAGCCCTAAGAACCTCTTCACAACAACCCCAAACCCGACGGTTTGGGGCTCAAGGCACACGTGGAAGTCTCTAAGGCGGTGAATGAAACATGGTGGCAAGAGTAGGGCTGCTTGGAGGATCGTGGGACTTAGTAAGTAAGGCTATAAGTACCTTGATTGGGGGTATAAGTATAGTTACCGTCATTATGACCCTATTTACTCAGTCCCATGATCCCTTAAGTGGAGTTGGTTCTGCAGATCGCCTGACACGACATGGGGATCTCAAGCGTCAGACAGCTCTCACACCTGCCCTACAGCTGCAACTCGAACCTTTGCGATAGCATACTCCAACGTAACACGGCTTGTTGCATTGTGTTTTAGTTCCAGCGCATAGCATCCTTACATCATGCTGTGTTGGGCGATCGTAGGTTACAGCGGTTCATGAGTATACGTCGACATCATGCAAGAGCATGTGTACAAAGAGAGGAGGAAGTTGTAAGTTCAGAAGAGGAGGAACAAAGTAGACACCGGCGCAATATACACACGTCCGGGCTCTCTTCTCCAACCATGGCTTTCCCAAGCCAGGGCGCATCAATCACGTGGCTAGGTCCTGCCAACATCGAGGTGCCGGTGTCCACCGCCACCTGGCCTGAGACAATGGGTTGACTGCTGCACCATAGGCACTAAATGAACAACAATGCACAGGGGCCTGCCCAAGGAACCGAAACTTTCATCAACACTCCAAGCTTGAGCGCTATCAGTTTTTTCGGGTTTGGGCCTCCAGAATACTTTGAAGGTATGCGAGCAGGCGGCAGTCTGAGCACAGACTCTGCCTTTTGTTGTTGAAAGCGATATCCTCCATCTGCACCTGCACCGACTCATGTCGACAATTCAGTTCTGCGATCCCAATCCCATCCGAAAGGTGTGCCACGACTTCAGCGGACTGTCACGATCCTTATCAACAAGCGTCGGACAGGACATCAAGTCTGCATTCTGCACACGATGGGCGGGCATCGTAGCATGCGGATCATGTCATCTACAATCCGACTGACTGCTGCTCCCTCGCGCACCTGCCAGTAGCCGGTTTTCCTGGAGACCGGCACCCAAAACATCTGGCCCACCATGCGCTCCTCCTTGATGTCGCCGAACCTCATAGCACTCCATGATCTTCTCTGCTCCTTTCCTAGAAAGGTCCTCCACTGACACATTCTTGTCCGTGCCGAGATGCGTGATCTCAGAGTCTTCGTCGTCCGAATCCGACAAGAACACGGAGAACAACCCATGCTTCAGGTTGCCCGCTGCTTCCATGCCTTCAGTAAACGGGCTGGACTTCCCGGCTCGACGAAACTCAGCATGAAACTAAAGGACATGCGCAAACACACACACACACACACACACACACACTCGCTTCCACGCACATTACCTCCCTCCCTCCGTCGCTCCCTCCCTCTCTCTGTCCCTCTCTCTCTCTCTCTCTCTCTCTCTATCTCTCTCGCTCTTCTCCCAGGCTTTGCCCGCCCTGTGAAGGGATGGTTTGTAATCTTCTATCTATGCTTGGAGAACCGAGCGGACAACCAACCAATACCACTCTACACTATACTGACTCTTTCCGTCTCCCTTTCTCTTCGCAACCCTGGCTCTTTCGCCCGTTCAACCTAACTCGACCTAACATGCTAGAATAACTTCAACACTAGGAACTGGTTTTGAAGATACGAACTGCATACGGTTGTAGATTTCTCAGATAATGGTGGCATATTGATTCTCAACTTACCCTTCTCTGTCTTGTCAAGCATTGACAGCTCACTGCGAACATCTGTAACAGACTAGTACATGTTATCTGCAAAGACCTCCTCAGATGCAAAGGCATCTGTGCTGAACATCAAACACTTCCAAGATCTTGATTTAGATATATATTGAACGGCTACCAAAAAATCGCGCCGCACTTCAAGATAGAACGAGAATCTCTGATTTGGTTTCCTGCTGCAAGAGCAGCACCGCTTGTTGGTACCACCCTTGCTGTTGCACGTATTGCCGCGAAGTTTAGCTGCTAGCCTTAAACGTCAGTTTATCATAGTACATTAAAACATACTACAATATGTTATAGTATGTTTACTAGATCTATGGTAGATTACACTGTATTGCACTACATCATGGTATCCAGTATAGTACAGTACAGTGTAGTACAAAATTAGCGGAAGTCACAGCACTCTGAGCCGGGCCACGGTTCATGAGGCTGAAGTTGGGGCCCTGGGTCATTCCAGACAGAGCCAGGCCCAGGACGCCATCGAAGTTGAAGGACCCAAAGGGCTCCTGGCACACTGGGCTGATAATATACCATAATAGACTACAGTATAATACAATAAAGATATTATATATGATGTTTTAGTACACTAAAATATGATACAATAAAGTATACCAAAGACTGTCCTATACCATATATTACGAAACTGTACCATACCAAAATAATGCTACCCTACCCTATACTTGTATACCCCTGTGGCATCGGTCCGAATCAGCAAGTTCCACCTATACGGCCAACCACGCGGAACATGATGTGCGAATGGCCACTGGCTGCTGAACTCTCTTGATATGTACAGCCATAGCTGAGTACATACTGACATAATGTAGAGACACATGCAGCATTCATCGCAAACGAAGGCATTACTTACATTGCTTGCATCATATGGCAGGGACCGAGAACGTCCAATGCCTGACCATGTTTGCACATGCACAGGAGCGGAAGGTTGCTTCTATGTTCGAAACTATCTGCACATGGCTAAACTAATTCACGTGGGTTCTGTTGGGACGCGAAATGTAACGAGGTACGAACAGTATCGCGCAGGTCAACAAGCCCGGAAACAGCGTCTTCGGGCCCATGCGAAGGCCGAAACTGAGGCTTGAAAATTCAGCCCGCAGCAGGAGGCGTTCCTCGGTTTCGTGGGAAGCACCGATGAACTCCATGTTCGCGCAAAGGTTGCCGATGCAAACATCATCTTTCAGGAAGACGCCCGTGATCCTGAGAGATTAGAGCTTCGACTCTCACAGGCTTACTTTACCGTTCAGGTTGTTGGTGCTTCGCACACATCCACGCACCAGCACAAACTCAGGGGAACTCTGCCTGCCGATTCTAAGCTGGAGGTTCTTTCCGGGTACATATACATACATCTTTACATCTACACGTGCATAAATATGCACATATCTTGTTTGCTACATTCTTGGACCCAAGCCGCTCCCCTGTGCCGAATGTGACGGTTAGCTGGTCCCGTGACTCGAAAGCGCCAGCCGGCTGTCCACCCGACTGCATGTTCCTGGGTGTTGGGTTTAAAGGCTAGGGCAAATAATCACAACAATATGTATTGTAACAGTAAGAAAAATAGTTGTACTACTTCAATAGCATATAATGATAACTAATAATCATAATAGTGATAATAGTAATGATAATAATCCAAGCTTGCAGGGCTTAAGGCTTCATGTTTTTTGTTTTGTTTGCTATCTCTAGCGTCCAGGCCATGTTGGCTGAGGGAGTGGGGTACCGGATGCCGACTTCAGGATTTAGGGCTCGGATTTATTTCTCTCGCGGCTCGGGCACTCCGCGAGGTGCTTCGGTTTTCAGGGGGGGATGGTTGCGTTGAACCCTCCCAATGTCGGTTACGGTTTTGGGCTTTAGGAGGAGAGTGGGAGAGATGGGTTCTTGCACTCATGCTACAGTTTTAGGGCCCGTTCTAGGCTTCGGTTTAACTGTGCTTCAAGGAAGTTTTGGGCTTAACGTCTATCCTGCCAGGGCATGTCGCTTAGAGTATGACTTCGACGTCGGTGTTCCCAAAAAAAAATCTAGAGCCAAAGTCTGCAACAATATTGCGAACGGATACATGCTACGAATAAGCGCACGACAACCATGTTTCCACCGACATGTCACAAGTGATCCTAAGTGCAAGGTCAACCCACAAACAAATAACAAACACGATCCGTAGCAACCGGGAGAGAGCATTCAAAAAGCATAACTGTTCAGGAACTGCTTGTTCCAGAAACCTTCTAAGATCGCCTATGAAGTCTGCCCGAGCCACACCACAGTCTTGGACAAAGAGGGATCGAAACGCTTGTGCCTTGCAGGGACATCCAAAGTGCGCCGACGAACTCCCCCAAAGCCGTCCTTTTTTGCAGCTGGGCTCTTAGTCAACCCTTTTTGCAACTGGCTTTGCGACGTCTTAGTCAACCCTAAACCCCAATTCGTAAACCCTACACGCAAGGGCTCACGGGAAATCCAGAAGACCCACTCTTCCCAGCGATTCACAAGTCGAAGAAAGGGCAGCGCTTAAAGGCCTCTGGCAGGCGCTGTCCGTGCAAAGCGTGGATGGGACCATCAGGTTGCCACTGCCTTCGGAGAGAACTCGGACTTGATTGAAGGGGCGCGAAGCATCTAATGTAGCAACCTGATTTTAAGAAACCTTGGGCCTTTATAGGGTTCCTTACTATGAATCCTACTATTTTGGTGTTATAAGCCCAGGGCTTCTTTTTCAGGCTCCCACATCAATAAACTGGCACTTGTCTGAAAGTCGGCGGGTCCCCCGTTGAAGTAAGCTTTTCCCACAACACGTTCAAGACTGAAACTATTTGCTTTTGGGTTTTACTGCCATTATACTATAATTATAGCAAGGAACCCCCAAAATGGTATAGGTAATTAGTGAGGCCCCCATATTTACCTTCATCTTAGCAAATGAGGACCACACCTAACCTAGAAGCGGGCCAGAACAGCCCCGCCGGGCCTGTGTCGAACACGACGGTTATGGTCTGCGCCGGCTTGCCAATGTGAATGTTGCCGTAATACCTCCAGCAATGCCACTCGGCTTCCATCTCAACCCTCTCAGTCTCATCCCTGAACCAAACATACACCTATGGTGATGCATGGATGTCGGAGGTGGCCTGCTCAAGGTCTGCATATGCAACGTTGCACACTTGGTCATCCAACGCCAAGCTGCGCTGTCTTGTGGACAACTCGGCTGAAGGCATCGTTCTTGCCCTTCATGGCGGCCTTGATGTGCTGCATTTTCTCGGACGCCGAAATGTTGGCACGCTTCAGGATCACCTCAACACAGGCCTAACAACCACTAAACCCAACATATATTCCATGTGGCCGATCCGTGGGTGGTTACCCTCGGCATGGTGGCTAGGGCGAGCGGCTAGTGGCTGCTGCATGTGTGTGCACTTCTTGCCTGTGCCCGATGCATCCTCAGTCGTTTCGTCGGAACCACGGATAGTGTATACAGTGGAAATGGTGCACTGGAAAGTTGAAGGGCTGCACGTAGCCAAAACATATCTGTGTCGGACAAGGTTGGCATTGGCTGTGAACATTCGGCTGGGGGTTAAGGGGTGATCCTCACACCTTGCTTGGATTGTTAGTGTCAGTGTCTTTTTTTTCCTGTTCGGTTGTGTTCCAAGGCGTGCGGCACTGAAAGAAAGGCACAAGAGATCAACAGCAAAAATTGGAGGCAAAACCACACGCACCTGCCAAACCGGCAATCCTTGCATTCATAATCTGCCCACGCGCTGGATCCCAAGCAACACACCACAGAACCAGCACCTGCCAAGCGGCCGAATGCGAGGATCGCAAACCTGTCCGTGCGGTGGCCTCTCCCGCTTGCAAGGATGAGTCCGATGACATTCGGCTATTGGCCGCATTGGCGTTCGTGCCTGTGACTCGCAAACATCGCGGAAACGCTGTGGTACATGCTGTCATACATCTTACACGTCCCCGTGTGTTTCCTCACAAATGATTTACCAGTAGTTGCTGTACGGTTATCGAAATACCGCTCTTTTCCGTACGTGTTGTAGTGTCGTGACAACCAAGTACTATACTGCTGCTCGTCTTTTCAGGCAAGCCACCGACTGCCGGCACAGTGCTGCAAATGGCAAGCCTGGGGAAGCTGATGCACTGGCAAGACCCGTCAATCCCTCCTCGTTGATGTCGAACTGCGCAATGGACACAGACCAGAAATCTGCAACCAGGGCACGCAACTGCAAAAAGAGCTGCTGATGCGCGGCCCATGGCGAACTACAATACTCGGATAATCCAAGCAGAAATGCTTGGCTTGCTAGGTCGGAACGCGCGTTTTCTCGGCGGCGTCCTTGCCCAGCTGTTCGAGCCGCATGCGAACAGGAATGGCGCATTACGAGGTGGTGATCTTGATGCGCCTGTGCAGTTGGCACACATAGTCGGCAGCGGTGCGAAAGTTGTGGTTACACAAGTTCTTTGTTTTGTTTTGCCTCCTGCCCGGCGCGAGCTGCAGGGTGAACGACAACGATGAATACTTTGTGTGCGTATACATCCGTACTACATCCACATCCACGTACGCCTATGCCTAAGCACAAACAGAGACATAAATGGACGCAGGCATAAACATAAACATAGACAAGTACGTATACAATCGTATGCATACACGTATACACGAACGTAAAGGAGGCTAGAGGGGGGAGGATTTGGGCGGGTTTGGAAATAGGTGGCCCACCTATTAGAACATCTTCTGTTAGGGGAAGTTGAGGCTACGTGGCACCATGCTACGAGCAGCTAATGTGCCAGCTCCGCCCGAGGTGGCCGACCTCGGTGATGCTGTGTGGCGCGGAGACAAGTCGCCACGCGAACGCGGCTTCCTGGTTCTCGGCGTGGCCATCGGGCATCCGGCGTTCATCCAGGCGTGGGCAGAAGAGCGTATGCTGGAGGAGAAGCATTTGCTCAGCGAGCTCCCCGAACTCCCAGACCTTCAGTGTGCCTGGCTGCTCCTCGCCCTTTGCGCGTCACCCCGAGCCAACCACGCCCTGCGCACCCTCCGTAGCAGGGTATGCGGCAGCGCATGACGCAGCTCTGTGGGAAGCGTTCCTCTCCTGCATCGGAGGAGCGCCGGCGCCCGACTCGCAAGCGGCTTGGCAGATAGCGGGTTTGCCCGCGACCCTGGGTGGGTTGCGACTCCAGTCCGCAGCGCGGACGAGCCCTGCCGCTTACTGGGCTTCCTGGGCTGATGCACTCCCTGTCATCCGCGCCCGTCGACCCCGTTTCGCGGCCAGTTGTGTCGCGGAGCTGGAAGGATCGGCCACGCGCCGCAGCGCAAGCCTTCAACAAGCTTCCGATGCTCGCACCTTGCTGCTCACGGAAGGTTGGTCGATGTTGGTCGGCTTGTCCCACTTGGGCACAGCTGCTCGACAACCACCAAATGAAGGCTTTGCCAGACCGGGGACTAAGGGATTGGCCCCATGGTTGGCAGCACCACACTAGCACCACGCGACGCGGACACGCACCACCTACTTTCGCGACCGCGTGCTGTTGCCGACCATAGATCCTGCTTCCCGAGCACTCCTCCGGTCCCAGGCGGGACCACAAGCCGGGGCTTGGCTGACCGCTATTCCCTCGGATGAAGCCCACGTACTGGCGCCTGAGACATCCTGAAACCATGCAGATCGCGTTGCGCAGCCGCTTGCGTCTCGCTTTGCCGCTCACCTCCAATACTTGCGGTGGCGACGCACCTGGATGCGGCCGTCCCGTTGATCGCTTGGGGGACCATGCGGTGGGTTGCCCGCGCACGGGGCTGCTCACACGCCGGGCCAAGATCGTCGAGCACGCTTAGGTCCTCGTGGCACGCGAAGCCATCGGGCCCGAAGGGCAGGCCGTCCCACAGCAGTGGCTCACGCGCACGACCGCACCGGGAGTGGAGTCGGACGACCGCCGCCGAGTTGACATGGTCATCTACGGCGTCACTCCTTGGGGAGGGGCACTGTGCTGCGACGCGACGTTGGTCTCTCCCGTGTTGCGAGATGGCCAGCCGCAAGGGCGTGCAGCGGATGAAAACGGGGTAGCGCTCGCCACGGCCACACGCCGCAAAAAGGCGACATACCCGGAGCTCCTTCGCAACGGTCCCCAGCGCCTCGTTGTGCTCGGCTCGGAGGTTGGGGGTCGTTGGAGCGCGGGAGCCGTCGCTCTCGTTCGCGACCTCGTTCGCCTCCGCCGGTTGCGCGCCCCTCCCGCTCTGCGCAATGCCGCGGCCACAGCTTGGGCTCGGCGTTGGTGGACCCAGCTGTCGGTCGCTGTTCAGCGTGCGACAGCCCTGTCGGCGGCCGGTCGGGCATGGCCTGCGGCGCCTCGCGCCTTGGTAGACGCTCCGGCCCTCGAACTCGTGTTGGACCTCGCTGACGCGGCGGGGCCCAGCACCCTGCCGAAGTAGGAAGGAGGGTAGCTGTGTAAGGAGACCAAGGACCACTCATTCCGGCAGACGCAAAAAGGGGGGGAGAAAAAAAAAAACTGCTAAATAGGTATAAGTCACGCAGAAGTGATTAATAAATAGGGAGTGGAGGGAGTTTGCTGTGATTGTAGTAGGGCATGAAGCAGAGGAGGGTAGCGTGACTCCCCCACGACAAATCACGACAAGCTGACTCTTTTAATTGATGGTGTTTTTTTATGGTGTTATATACTGAGGTACTCTAGACTTTAGACTACAGAGAGGAGATGTATTGGTCTTCTGCGTGCCACGACACTGCAAACGGCTTTCGTCGTCGGCACAGGTTATGCAGAGGTGATAGATAAGTGGGAGGACAGGTCAGTGCCGCTCTTAGTATATCAGGTTATCGAGGAGGGTAGAGCGACCCCCCCGCACGAAAGTCTGATTATTTCTTTTTAAGGCTGATTCTGATGGTGCTTCAACTAGCGTATGGAGCGGTGCGCTTGCGCCAGCCTCCGGTTGCAGCTGCTGTGGCCAGCCGCCGCCCAGAGCCGTGCTGGCGACTGCCTGCTTCACCGCGACAGACAGCCTGCTCCACCAACACGCCACGGCGGCTGCCGCGCGGATGGCCGGCGGGGCGCGGTAGGCCGCACGAAGCGGCGAGCCTGGGCGTTCCAGCGGCCGCCGTCGCACACTGCTGCAGGCGCCCACAGCGCGTGAAAGGGGACACCAGCGTAGCGCCGCAGCATTGCGCACCCCCGCTGCTGAGCGCCTCATACACGACATTACACGACGACGTCGAGCCGGCGACGGTCCTGCGCGCCAGGAGCTGCTATGCAACGGCAGAGGCTGTCGCAGCCTTCGCCTCAAAGCGATCTGCACACCAGTGGTGGGACCGTTGTAGCCGGCTCCGTCGGGATCGCTGCGAGCCAAGCGCCCGCCTGCGGTGCAGCTTTCGATCGCAACCGCGCCTGAGAACTGGGCGGCATGTCGGGCAGCAGCACGCTATCGCGGAAGTGAGGGTTGAGAGTTCGCGTCGCGTGCATCTGCTAGCTATGCGGCCAATCCGCTGGCGCGGCGTCATCCGCGCGCCGGAAAGTAAGTAGGGAAGCTGGGGTCTAATGTGAACTTTGGCTGGTTGAGGCGGGCGGTCAGGACACGAGCTTGCGAATCCAGCAAAGCGGCGGCCATGGCAGCATTAGTTGCCAGGGTGGCAGAAATCGCATGAAATCGCCAACTGCTTGGAATCCACGGTCGCCGGAAGCTTTCCTCGGGCTGGGAGGGCGCCTCAGGCTGTAGCGTCTTCCGTGCCAGAGGTGGGCCCCTCAAGCATACCCCCTGCATCATAAGGGAAGCTGAACCACCGTGGCTTTGAACGTCCGTCTATTTGAATGTTGATGCTCCAGCCATAACAAGGGCAGCACAAAAGTTACTTCCAACAGTCTTAAGTCGTGGGGTGGCGGTGACCTGGCAGTGTAAACCAAGGCGTACCTACCCCGAGCTCCGCCACTCTGCCACGTGCAAGCTCGTAGCTCTTGAACTCGGCGGCGCAATGAAGCCGTTTTTGTTAAGCTCCGCGCTCGTCCCCGAGCGCGGCCCGTCCCTGCCGCCATCCGGAGGCCAGCATGTCTGCCTTTGTGTCTCGGTGGTCCGCGTTGTTCTCCTTGGCAGCCGCCCACTCTTTGGCCTCCAGCCATCTCTGCTTGCCTTGGCCGCCACAGCTGACCTCGGCGATGTGTTCGACTACCCTGCCCTCGAGCAACACCTCGCCAGCCACTTACTTCACGCAACGTAGCTTGCAGTCGGCTCTGGACTCGGGCTGTCCCGGGACCTTGCCAAATCGAGGGAAAGAAGGCTGGCGGCAAAGGTCCGCGCGGCTGCGAAGGCCAGGAACGCAGATCAGCGCAACATAAAAGCGGCAGCGCACGGGCCTTGCTTCGGGCAAGGAGTCTGACAAACTCAGCGGCTTGAAAGCTCCAGCGCCCACCAACCTCAAGGCCAAGCACAACAAGCCGACAGTGGTGCCCGGAAGCACGCTCTGGGTATGTTCGAGCTTTGCAACGTTCAGCGACACGCAAAGCTGCCCAGTGGCGCAGCCTATGTCTTAGCAGCTGCAGTATGCTGCAGTGAGGGGCGACACGAGGGTGGTGTCCACGGCAACTGCACACCGCCCTTGGCAATGGCATGTGCGCGTCTCTCGCCCTGGCGGACAGGGACGACCTTGAGATACGGCCGTACCCAGCTGTCGGGTAAAAGCGTGCGAGTCGGCGTTCCAGCGCGCTCCGACCTCCACGGCAAGGACGAAGAGGCATTGGCCACCGCCGCGCTGCAACTCCGGATAAGCTGCGCGCTTGCGGCTCAGAGCCAAGGCGACGCCGGGAGTATAGTCCGTTCGCGGGTGAAGGGTGCTCGCTCCGGTGATGGGGCTAACCAGTGTAGCATCGCAACAAAAGCGAAGCCCTGGGGCAAGGCGCTGTACACCACGAGGTCGAGGCGTCGGCGGTCTGACGTCGGGACTCCCGGCCGTGTGCGACAGGCACTGCTGGGGGACAACGTGTCCCTCCGCTCCCACCGCCTCGCGGCAAACTGCGAGCCAGGCTTGCTCGACCATCTCCACCAGCTTCGCTCGGCGTGGTAAGAGGCCGCTGCGTGTGCAGGCGAGGGCGTGGTCGTCCCAGGGGTCTAGCCGTCTTCGACTCGTCTTCGGCATCCATGCCCGTGTTGGCCGCAGACGCCGGGGCCCAGAGACAAAAAGCAAACGGAGGCGTCTGCGAAGAGCGATCTGCAGACACAGATTGGATTCCGCTCTCAGACAGGCACAGTTGACGCAATATTTGTTGCCCAAACCTTTCGATAGCGTAGGCCCCCAGCGGCCTCCCGTGCTGTGTTCCAATTCGATTTGCCGCAAAAACATCGAGATGTGGTACCTGCGATTGCGACATACAGTTCAGAGTTCTTGATTGCGGGCAAAAGTTTCCAGTGCGAAAAACATTACCTTGGGAGTTCTCAACGGCGTCCACTGTTCCCGCTCCTGTTCTCAATGATGACCGTACTGCTTCCACCGTCTTGCGTTTGCGCATGCCGCGTTCGGAATGGGCCTCGCAGCACCACAAACCAGCAGCCTGCCCTCGACCACATGCGTTGGTATGCGCCGGTACGCTTGGAGGAGAAAATCGGACTTGCCCGAGGAGGTTGTTGTGAGCAGTTTAAGTACTTGCTCACTGAACGTGCCTCGCATGTCACGCAGAGTCACTCTAGAGTGGTTGCATCAGACATGACTTTCGCAGACTTGCCTTGGCAATGCCTTGGCTCAAGTGACCGGGTGAAAACATTTGCTCCGTCGAAGCTGTGTGTAGCTGTGCATTGCTTGAGCTGTGACCAACACAGGGTTATCAGCCGTAGCTCGAAGGTGCCATGGCGACAGACGATGCGACGTCAGGGCGCATCTACATTAAAGATCTGCCAGAAACTGGTTCTGATTATGAGGGCTGGCGCTTCAGTTTGAAGAGTCAAATCTTGCGTGTAGCACCGGACCCAGTTGCTGCCATGGCTTATATCAGAGAGCTTGATGATGAATCTGTTTCTTTTGGCGATTTGGCGTCAAACTTGTCCGTAGACATGAACAAAACAGATGTGAATGTTTTCGCGGCAGTGGTTGCCGCATGTCAGAAGGGAAAGAAAGGACCAGAGATTCTCAAGCTTATACAATCACGTGCACAGTTTGGTTGTGGTCGTCAAGCTGTCCGCATCGTTGACCAGCGGCACTTGCATGAGTCAACACATTTAGCCACGGAGGCTAACACCAAGATTCAAGAGCTCAGTTGTTCTGGATTGTCGGAGCTTGACAGCTACATGGCATCTTTTTCGTTGTATCGCCACCAGATGGGTTCCGGCGAGCATAAGCTCACCAATGCTGGGGGCATTGCGCTTCTGAAGCGCAAGCTCAAGGATATCAAGGAAATGGATGCCACTTTTGCCGTTTTCAATGCCAGCAATTCTGTGGATCTAGACGCCTTGATATATGCCATCAACGGTTTGGTTGCACATCACTCTGAGGAGATTGAGAGGCGAAAAGCACAGAAAAAGGCTGCTGCGGCCAAGGTCGCTGCTGCCACGGCAGCGGGCGGCAAATCACAGGGAGGCAAAGGCAAGAGCAAAAACAAGAAAGGCAATGACAAGCCGTGTGATCATTGTCACAAGCCCGGACACACAGCACAAAAGTGCTGGTTGAATCCAAAGAGTTCCGCGTACAGACCGGACTTCGCGGCGAAGATCAATGCCTCTTCGTCAAGCGGTGGGGCATCTGCGCCGCCTGGATTGGGGGCAGCGTCCATGGGCGCTCGGCCTGGGCCTGCAGTTCCGGCAGACGTCCTCACCAAAGCTTTTTCGGAGTTTCTCACCAAACGTTTCGGTGGCTCCGCGTGGCTTGCCGATGTCAAGCCGGACGATCTTCAACAATTTGCGGGTGCGGCATGGGCTCTGGATTCGGGAGCCAGCCAGTTCTGCATCATGGGCGACAATGCCGATGATGCCGTTTGGGAGACAATGCAAAGTGCAGACTGCGATATCGACACAGGCGCTGGCACGGCTCGGCCAAAAGCTATGGTGGACGCCATGGTTCCGCATCTCGGGCGTCGCTCGGCCATGGTGATGCCGGACTCTAAAATCAACATGGCGTCGATGGGCGAAACTTGCGCCGAGCTGGGGTATCATTTCTACTGGCCCGCATGGTCTGAGCAGCCACATTTCTGGCGCGACGGTGTTTCCAGCGAGGTGCCGCTCACCATGGTCAATCGCGTCCCGTTTCTATTGAGCGCAGTCGATGCTGGTCCGGCAAGCTTGATTGAGGCTGCAAGCGACACAGACTTGAACGATTTCTTCGCTCAGATGTTTCGGGAGTTTTGCTTGACGCTTGGTGAGACAGAGCTCGCTAACCTTTCGGTTCCCCTTGCATTGGCGACGCAGTCGCAGCCTGCGGATCAACATTGCTTGGCTCACTACCCGAAGGACCCCACCTGCGAAGTGTGCTTGCAAGCAAAAATGTGTCGAGTTCCAGCGGCTCGCAAAAAGCAAGCTGTCGAAGATGACAAGCAGACAGCTCGAGTTCACGGGGAACGCATTCACTGTGATCTTGTCGGCCCTACACGCCCCAGCATCAATGACGAGGTGTATGCCATGATTACGCATGATGATGCAACGGGGTACCCGGCCGCACGTGCTTTGCGCACCAAGCAGGCTTCCGAAGCCGCTGCCGCTTTCGACGACATGTATGGGAACCAGTCAGTGTCTTCAGTCCGGACGGACAATGGTGGCGAGTTCCAGGGCGAGTTCGCCGCCAAACTCAAGGAACGGAAAATCAGACACGAACGTTCCTTGCCACGTCGACCTCAGACAAATTCCCGTGCTGAGCGATTCCACCGCACAGTTGCGGAAGGCATGGCTTGCCTTTTTGTTGCGTCTGGAGTCCCGTATGCTTTCTGGACGTTCTGTCTCATGGCCTTCCTCTTTGTGTATGCTCGCAGCCCGGGCGCAGGTGGTGCTGACTCCCCCTACCAGATGCGCTTCAATCGTTCTTATGATTTGAGCAAGTTGCGTCCATTCGGCTCTGCGTGCTACTACCTGTCAGAGGAACATGAGAAGTTTGCATCTCGTGGACGGCTTGGTGTGGTGTTGGGGTATAGCCGCTTGCAGTCATACTACGTCCTGGATTTCGAACATTACGTCGAGACGAAGGGCGAGGCCCGGATTGTGCACACACGTGATGTGCGCTTCCCCCCTCAGGTGCGCTGGCCTTTTCACGAGCTGGGCATGGACAACCCTGATGCGGCATACTGGGCCCAACGTTTGTTCGAACCGGAGGTGTTGCAACCAACGCCCGTTGCTGGAGATGACGGCCGATGTGTACTTTGCGGCTTGTGGGCCACTGATGCCGACATCCACTGCCGTGGATGTTTGCTTGGCGGTGGTCGTCGTCGGCATGTGGATGGTCCCGGCTGCCTTCGCGCTCGATGTGGTGGTCATGCGTTCCTTGACGTTCAGCCCCCTCCGGACTCGCCCGAGACGAGCATGGACTATTCTCCAAGCACTCCACGCAGCCGTGATGGGGGCGTCATCGACTCCTCCATGGATTCGTCAAGCTCCAGGTTTTCGACACCGCATGACGCACACGATGATGATGACATGGGCCCACCGCCTGACGATGAAGGCGATGGACGTTGCCATACGGATGCCTCGCCACGCAGGCCGCGCTGGCGAGTGGGCTTGTTCGCTGATGCACAAATGCCTCCCGAACACAATTATGGCCCCCATTTCGATGACAGCATGGATAGTGGCCTAGTGCCGCCTCGCCCCGACTTAGCGCCATCAACTCCGCTGTCAAACCGCGTTGCCGCCGATCTTACATCTTCATCCGGGCGATCTCGGTCCCACCGCGGGTCGCATCCATATGCATCCATCGGATGCGGATTCGGAGCGCGCTTCTCAAAGCCCAGATGTTGCGCAGAATCCCGTCTCAAGTTCATCTCCATCCCAGGTTGGATCACACCCATCAGATGCGGATTCGGAGCGATCCAGGCCGGCCTCCAGCAGTCACAATCGGACCAGCACGGAGCTGCGGCCAGACGGCATACACAGTTCGGACGCTGATTCGGAGAGATCGCAGCAACCAACCAATGATCGCGACAATGCAGCTATTTCCTCCACGGTGACGTTTGAAAGCGATCGATCTGGGCTCAGCACAGTTGTCCGTGGTGGGACGGTTCTCACAACGCCTGCAGCACTTAGGCTTGAACAGGAGCTGGACAAGCTGACAACTGAGCTGGGGAAGATGTTCGCTTGCGTCACCAAGATCGTCAAACGAAGAGATCCGGAGTGGGACACAAACGCTGCGCGTGAAGCTATCCGCAAAGAGGCGGCAAACCACGCGTCGAAGCGGACTTGGGAGTCTGAGGCATGTGAATGGGAAACCGCTGTGGCCAAGTACGGCCCTGATGTGGAGTACGTGCAGGCAAACCTCATCTTAGGGATCAAGCATTACGAACTCGATCAATCCCAGCACAGATTCAAAGCTCGCATAGTCGCACTCGGGGACAACGTTCGCGACATTTACGGCCGGCTTGTGGAGGAAGACCAATTGCACGGTCGACCCATCACGCTTGAAGGATCACGGGCGCTAGATTGCTATGCCGGTTTGCAGCCTGACGGCGATTGTCAAACTGCTGATGCTGATGGTGCCTATTTGCAAGCTCGACTCAAAGGTCGTCCGAAGGTGATTTGTTTACCAAGAGAGTTTCGCACACAATCCGAACTGGAGATGCGCTGTCCTGTGCACTTGTTGTACATGGCCATCTATGGGCTGACACGTTCAAACAGCGATTGGGAAGATCATGCTGACGACCGGTTGTTGCTTAAGCATTGGCTGCAAGCTCGTGACATTGAGCGCCCGATTTTCAAGAAGGAATATAACGGGCACATTGTGGGCATGAGCCGTTTCGTCGATGATTTCAAGCTGGCGGGACACAAACCCGTGTTACCACATGCATGGGCTGAGATTTTCGAATGCTTCGATTTCGCGGACCCGCCTCAACCTGTCAGCCGATTTGTAGGCTCCGAGGAGATCTTATCGCGCGACCAAGCGGATGTTGCCACATTTCTAGTGAAGCAGGATGCGTACATCGACACCCTCACGAGAAAGTACATGGATGAGATTGGTGCATACAGACTTCCACGATACGACACTCCGGCTGTGAAGCTCGCGACCAATGATGTTTCAAACATGAGTGAGACAGGTCAGTTTGCATCAAATTGCGGTTCCTACGTAGGGGCTGGATTGTGGGTAGCGAGGAACAGTCGTCCTGAGATCTCATTTGCTGTCGGGTGGTTGGGTCGGTACACCACAAAATGGACAAGAAGACAGGATGCTGCCTTGCATCGTTTGATGGGGTATTTGGCGGCGACTAGGTCCTCCGCACTTAGATTGGTTCTCAATCCTGCCGATGTGCAGCAACGCACTCTGAAGCTAGTATTGTGGGTCGATTCTGATTGGGCGACGGATCCCGATACCAGGCGATCGACATCAGGAGCCGTTTTGCAACTTGTTGGGTCGCACGGCACTCGCATTTTTCACGGCTCTTGGGAGTTCACCCGCATGGTTGAGCATGACTTTGAACGAGTGATTGACCGTTGATTGAATTTTCATGATCATGCGCATGTATTGCTTGATTTTCCGCATGATTTCACGGTTGATTCTTGATTTCATGGCTGATTTCTTGATTTTCAGTTGTACGAACCTTGCAAGTTTTCTTGGCTGCTGACTCGCTCTGCGAAACCAGTTCTGAGCAGCAACCAACGTACCAGCCGCATGCCATCTGCACTACTGTACAGCCCACAATGCTTGCAGATTTTGGCACTCTCGGCAGTCAGTACACAAGTCTGTGCACTCTGATTCCATTTTCTGCTTGCAGACTTTGGCAGTCTCTGCAGTCAGCACACAAGTCTGTGCACTTTGATGCCATTTTCCCGCGATGCCATGCTCGGCATGGGGGCGTTGTGTGAGCAGTTTAAGTACTTGCTCACTGAACGTGCCTCGCATGTCACGCAGAGTCACTCTAGAGTGGTTGCATCAGACATGACTTTCGCAGACTTGCCTTGGCAATGCCTTGGCTCAAGTGACCGGGTGAAAACATTTGCTCCGTCGAAGCTGTGTGTAGCTGTGCATTGCTTGAGCTGTGACCAACAGTTGTGTATGCAGGCGACACCATGGTTGTAGTTTTTCAGCATCCCAGGCTGCAGCGTACATGGGCTGCATTGCCAATGCTGAAGCTCACGGAGATTATGGCTTGCGTTTCAATTGGCGTAAAATCGAAACCATGCCGATTCGTTGCGATTTCAATGTGTTGAAGCCGGACGGTCACCCTATTGAATGAAAATATTCCGTGGTTTACTTTTTTGGGGTTTAATTGGGTAATCTCGTGAATATATTGGCGGAAATTGGGCCGGAGCTGAATCGTCGACTCGCTTCGGCCAGGGCCGATGTTCAAGCCCTCAATCAAGTTTGGAAACATCCTTACGTCGCAACGTCCACATTTTCCATGCGTGCATTGGCTCGCAATCGCTGTGCTGCCTGCACACAACTTGGCTGAACAAAGCATTCCGCCGAAAATTTGATGGCTTTCAGGCTCGATGTCTACACAAAATTCTTGGAATCCCGCACTTTTTGCACCGTGTGTCCAACGTGAAAGTTGTGCAAGAAACTGTGGCCAAACCATATTCCAAAATGTCGCTACACAAACAACTGCAGCTCATTGGATCTCATTGGAGGGTTCGTATCAGCTCCAAGGTCATACGAAACCGAAATGTCGAGGCCGCCCGAAACAGGTGTGGACCTGAAAGGTGTGTCAGTTAGCTGCACAGGCGGCTTTAGGTGGCAGGAAGCGTTTATGGTCATCTCCACCGAACGTGTGGCGACAACGTGTACACTCTGTGTGCCTCGGGAACTAGTTGTTCCTTCCATGCCCAGGGACAGATCAAAGCAACTCCGATTGCGATCTGCGGTGCCGTCTGTTGAAGGATACTCCACTGTCCATGCGACCGGCAAAATGATACAGGTTGTACATCCACGTACATCCTGTCCAACTGTCTCTTGAACTCACTCCAAATCGGCAACATGGGCGAACGGTAGTGAGTCGATATGGAGCACTTGTTCCCACTCCATCGCGCAATTTGCGCTGTTAGTGCTGCCTCCCTACCGCCCCACACCCGACACCCCGACTACAAACCCTTCATTAAAAGCCAACTCACGGCGGACTGTCAAACGACAGGGTCAGGTCACGTGAAGTCGTACTTTGTGGGGAGCTCCCTGTTATGGAGCTGGATTGGCATGTCGTTAGCACAAGCAACTGCGGGCAAGGAGCGATTCGACGCCAAACCCAGTTGTGATTGATTGGGGTATAGCGCGGGTGGTTCACGACACAAAAATACATCCAGTCGCTTGCATCAGCTGTGGACACACCCGTCCCATCACATGAATTTTTCTCGCACTGCCATGGTGCCTGCGCACGACTGGCAACTGGTCAGGCGTTAGGAATGCTGGGTGGGCATGACAAGGCCGTCGCGCTGCCCAGCCGCTGCTGTAACTGACCGTCTGCACAGCGTTGCGCTGGGCACCTGGCAGCTTGCGCTGCAGCTCTGCCTGGTTGAATGTCGGCTGAAAGCGCTTCTCAAGTGGCGCACTGGTGGCGCAAGCGCCACGGTGATCGCCATATACGGGCGGGCGGCAAAGTGGTGTGCTCCAATATTGGGAGGACCGCAGTTGCCGAATGCAGCAATTGGGGCAACCACTCTGGAGGCGCGGGTGGCCGGCTAGCAAGGTTTGTCGCTCGCTCGCACCCTTCACCGGTGCGAGCGGCGGGGCGCTGCATGGCGCTGCCAGACCATCGCAATCGGTTGGTGCTTCGCCTGGGGGACGCATCTCAGTCTGTGCGGGAATGGCGTCGTCCGAAGAAGGCACGTTGACTGCTTCTTCGCCTCGTAGGTACGTGGCTGCCTGGAAGTTGCATGCCACGGTCCATCCCGGTTCGCATATCGCGATGGGCTTGGGATGGCTTGGGGCACCAGCCCTCACGAGAACACTTGCGGAAGACGTAAAACTGGGCCTTGAGGCGAAGCAAAGCTACCAGAACATGGCTGTGGACTGCGAGCCTTCGAACCGCACACTCCGCATTCCTTAGCCGGCGAGTGCTATATCAAGCAGGTTTTCGACGGTAGTACCACCAAGCTGCCGACATCCCCGGTTTCTTGAACTGTTTAGCAAGGCTGGGTGATGCTGGGTGCAAAAGTATGCGAAATCTTCCGTCGGCCACACAAGTTCTCCCGAGTGTGAGCCACATGCGCATCAGCCATAACCAGCTGCAGGTTGCTGCGGCACAAATGGGCAAAAAGAAAGCGCAACGTGTGGTGCAGGTTTTGCTGACGACAAATGGTCTTCTTTCATACACACCTTCGTACACCAGATTACACCAGCAGCAACCTCCGGTTCCCCTTTGTGCTCGGTCCGCACGCCGTAGCGTCGGCACGGCAAGGCGAGGCAGTGGTATGCGCCGGTTTGTGAGTCTGGGCAGGCCGTGCGACGGTTAGCTAAGGCACGCTTCACCAGTGTAACGGGCCTAGGCATCTTAGGCTGCCGGGATCGTATGCTTGGCGGGGCTCGTCGGTGTGCGCGGAAGGTAACAAGCGCCTAACCAGCTTCACCGTCTTCGTCCTCCCACCCGAAGATGCAAAAACTTTTTGCGCATCTTTGCACGACTTGGCACGCCGGCATCAGCCAGTCCGCCACAAAACAGATCCACCTTCCGCCGCTGCACAGGCCCGAGGTGAACCATCGCACTTTAGAGGCGTAACAAAGTCGCATCACAGCATATCGCCACCGAGGCGGCATGGCCATGTAGAACCCCGAGGATAATCCGTGCTCAAACGCTACCTGCGCTGCGGCGGCTCGTGCAAGCGAAGAGCTGGAACCAAAGCCTGCGACGAAACATCTGCATGTTGATCATGCACCTGCTTGTATCAAGTGGGTGGGGCGCGCAGTGGCCGCACTCGTGACCAGTGCTTAAAAACAGTGCCCGGTGCTCAGTTCCTTTGTATCTTTTGTTCCCGTCACTCCCGGCCCTCGTTGGCGCAAGTGAGGGAACTCCGCTTGAGCTGCCTGCGGGCGGATTTCAACAGAGCCTAACAGAGCCTGGGGGTCGATGGAGGTGCCAGCGGCCTGCCAACTGCATGCGGACCAGCTTGCGAGCGCAAGAGGGCGCGATGGGAAGCCAGCAAACGAGGCATCCGCATGCGCACTGGAAGGACATTATGTTGGGTTAGCCTCGAGACATATCCACAACTTGGCCAGACCTCCTTTGGTTGTATTGAGGACAGCACATCACGTCAGTGCACTGTCAGTGCTGCGTGGGCAATAGGGTCAGGATCGTCACCGTCGTACACCTCGTACTGGCGAACAAGCATTCATCAATCGTAATTCTCCATGCCACGATATTCCAGCAGTGCTCCAGCGATAGCTCCTAGCATTGTGCTGACTCGCTGCATTGCCACTGTCAAGACGGCAACTTGAGCGGCGTGCTCGGCCATTCTCTGCAGCACCCTGGTGTCCCCGTACCAGCACAACTTCAACAGTAGCACGAAACGACGGCCAAGCCGACCCAGTTCCGCAGAAAACTTGTGCGACGCCGTGCTCCAAGTGCGACAGGTTGATAGGATTTACGTGAATTGCCGCTGCTAGCTACCGGGATCCTGATCACCAGCCAACTATCGCTCGCTGACAACATCCGCCACGACCAATGTGCAGTAATAGGTTCGGGATCAGAGTCGTGTCGCAGTCCCACACAGGCTCAGGTGCGGAGCAGCAGAAAGGCCGGTCAAGAGCGAAGGCCGACGAAACGATACATGATGCTTGCAATTGATCTTCAAATTGCCACATCAAGCGCCGCAACCCAGTGGTGCTCGGGGCTTCCGTCCAAAACTTTGCACTCAACGCCGACAAATACAAGGTGACCAAGTTCCTCCGCGCACAATTCTTTAGCCGCGTTCTCGCTTGCATGCAACAAGCCATGCCCTTTTGAGGTGCGCCGTTCGTGTTTTCCACCTTTTGTTGCTCGCTGCACATGTCTGGGAGCACACTTGCCAAGCCATTTTACAGGATGCGCACTGCGGGCTGTTAAGTTGAAAGCCCTCGACCATGCACAAGGCCACACACGGGGCCTCCAGATCTTTCCAAATCATTCCGTGTTCGAAAGACAAGAGATCGATCTACCACGATTCTGAGCAATGGTTCTGGGCAGCTTGATGTCCCTGCGCTTCCAGGCTCCACAATGCAAAGAGCCGAATGCCCAACACCCTTTAATTAAGGAATATTCCGTAAATCATATTCGGGCTCCTACTATAACTTAAGGTATTTTCTTTAATCAAGGGATATTGGAGTGTCTGGGTGTCCTCATTCCGCCAGCCATCAACAGCATGCTCGGAGGGGAGACAACTGGAACATCCCCTTCCGGTCACGTGAGGAATGTGACCCAGTTTCTTCGACATACCGGAGCATGTCTTTGCGAGGCTTCTGCCCTAACCTGGTTGCTACTTGGAGGATCATGGGACTTAGTAAGTAAGGTTATCAGTACCTTAAGTAGGGTT